TTGTTGTAGTTATGGTGTAATAAGCATGACTTCTTGCTGGTGCCACCGTTCCAACCACAGGTGGCTGTGCTGTGTCTCAGGTGCTCTCTATAACAGGAGGTCTGTGGATAGATTCTCACTTCTGAGGTTAGAAAGAACTTTCAGGGAAATGTCTAAAATGGCCAAATTCCATTGTAAGAAAACTTTATTAGGAACTGAACAAGCACATTTGTCTTGTAAGTTAAGAGTCTGAAGGTTCTCTGAACACGGGTGGGTATAGAACACGGGTATGCTTACAATGCACATTTCCCCTTCAATTAGGCATTATGCCCATTGTAGAGAGGAGTAAGCTCAAATAATTTTAATCAACTGCACAAAAAAAGTCATGTAGCCAGAGATGCTCACATCTTTTTCTAAATCCTGTGATCTTTCCATAATAAAATCCTGAGTGTTATTGCTGATGGTATTTGGTACATATTTATTTTCTACATGAAGTTGATTTTCCTACAAAATGGAAAACACAGTGAGATCTGAGGTCTTTTGTGCCATGCCTTTGTACATCCTGTCATCTTGCACAGAGAGTCTTTGTGTTCTCCTGGCAAACCCCTTTGCATTTTTCAGTATCTTGCTCAAAAGTCACTTCTCAGATGAGTTTACCCCAACCCAATTTGGATCTAGCGCAATTGGAGAACTTGCTTGTTTTCCCACTATTGAAGAACACTTATCATACTGCATGGCCACAATTTATTAATGTGTCTCTCATAATCTCCCTGACTGGGATCCAGAAGAATTAAAATCCTATCTTTTTCACTCTTGCAACTCTGGAACCTAGTACCGTTCCTGACACTTTAGAGACACTCATCATTTGGCTAAATGTGAGAAGACAGCTTGTCACTTGTTCTGTTGGCTCTGGCATTTTTAAAAGCATGGAGGAAATTCTGTGTCTGCAGGTCCCACCCGTTCTGCACTGCTGTTGCCACAACCTCCCCCACGCCAAGACCAAATAGAGGAAGCAAAAAGGCCTGGAGGGGCAGCCATCAAGAGAGACTGGACCCTCTACTTTCAGTTAGGGAAAAAGAGCCCCATGTCCCAATAGAGAAGTAGCATGCATGGAGTTAAGTTAACTTTTGGTTACTGGCAGTGCTTTTCAGGTGGCCCAGTGTTTCTTCCATCCACCAGAGGCAATACCACACAGTGGTTAAGGGTTCGTCCTCTGGAGTCAGACCTTATTAACCTCTCCCCATTCTGCAGTTCCTTCCTGTTTAAGATGAATTGTTATGATGAATAAATGAAAAAATACAGTACAGAATCTGGCAGCTTATGTGGGGGCTCAATAAACCTTTGTTGTTATTGCTACTAGTTTATTACATTATGAAACCTTCCTTTAAATGCACACCTTAGTGGAATGATAGAAATTTTAAGTGATATCTAGTAAGTGGGAATATTTGTATTTTCTCATTCCCAGCTACCATTTGATGAACATATGTATTTTGGCAGATTCCTGCTCCGTTGCCCAGGCTGGAGTACAGTGGTGCAGTCATAGCTCACTGCAGCCTCAAACTTACAGGCTCCAGAAATCCTCCTGCCTCAGCCTCCCTAGTAGCTGGGACTACAGCATGTGCCACCATGCGCAACTAATTCTTTTTTAATAGAGATGGGGGTCTCGCTGTATTTATTGCCCAGGCTGGTCTTAAATTCCTGGGCTCAAACAAACCTCCTGCCTTAGCCTCCCAAAGTGCTAGGATTCCAGGTGTGAGCCACCTCACCCAGCCTGTGCCAGCTTTTGATGAATCACTTTATATATATCTACTCATTTGTACCCCTCAGTCACCCTATCAAGTAGGTATTCTCTACATTTTGCAAAAGAAGAAATGAACTTAGAGAGAGATGAAAACAGATTGCCCACAGCCAGATAGCAGTAGATTGTCAGACTGCAAACCACATGGCCTCAAGATGGAGAAATTGTGTATTATGACCAATCGGTGTCCTTTGTTGTTAACGTTCTAGTTAGCACTCTGGGGCCCTTCGCTTTGAGATGATTGATTCATACCTCTTCTAAGATGAACATCTCTTTCAAATTGATTCATGTAAGCAGAAATTGAGATCGTAAATGGTAGACTGCATTGTCTAGATGCGTGACCTTCTGTGTGCCCAGGACTATTTCTGCTACGGCACATCACACACTCACATCAAACTGGTTACTAAGTAAAAATTTGGGGGGGGGGGTTGGAGTTGGAGTCTCACTTCGTCACCCAGGCTGGAGTGTGATGGCACGCTCACGGCCACCCCAGCGTCGACCTGCTGGGCTCAGGCTATCCTTCTACCTCAGCCTTCCGAGTAGCCAGAACTACAGGCACTTGCTATCATGCCCGGCTAATTTTTGATTTATTATAGAGACAAGGTCTTGCCAAGTTGCCCAGGCTGGTCTTGAACCCACAGACTCAGGCAATCCTCTCACCTCAGCCTCCCAAAGTGCTGGGATTACAGGCTGAGCCACCAAGCCCGGTCTGTTAACTAAAATTCTGACCCCTTTCTCACTTGAGCTACTGACATACTAGGTCTTCTTAATTCTGTCATTTATAGAGAGAGGATGTACCTCTAAGAGAGGACAGGATACAGAAAAACATACTTCTAATACCAAAAGTTTTCTTTACTTGAGAGGTTTTGCCTAAAGCTATTCGTGTTTTCTAATTGCACCAACAGAAGCTTTTAGATGGACTGAAAGGGTAGCCTGCTGTGTACCTACCTCACACCAAGCTGGGAGCATGCCCCCATGGATTTAGGATATGATTGTGCCCACATCAGTCTCCAGTATGTTAGTATGTTATAATAAGGAGCATGGTAGCTCTGGGACCTGCTGTCCATGATTTTTTTGGGGGGGGGTTATCTTATTTATTTTTTTATTTTTTATTTGGAGTCTCTCTCCGTCACCCAGGCTGGAGTGCAGTGGCGTGCTTACAGCCACCCCAGCATTGACCTGCTGGGCTCAGGCGAACCTTCTGCCTCAGCCTTCCAAGTAGCTGGAACTACAGGCAAGTGCCACCACCCAGCTTATTGGTTGGTTGATTGATTGATTGATTGATTGATTGATTGTAGAGGTGAGGTCTTGCCAAGTTGCCCAGGCTATTCTCGAACCGTGGACTCAGGTAATCCTCTCACCTCGGCCTTCCAAAGTGCTGGGATTACAGGCTTGAGCCATCACATCTGGCCTGCTGTCCACATTTTATAGACTGTAGAACATTTCTCAGCTATAAGTGTCTGTGCTTGTAAATTTTAGCATTCAGAGGATCTTCTCAGATACTGCAAGGATATTCCAAAAAGTTTTCTCTGGCAGAAAAGTGCATAAAGTATAGTAGGTTGGTTTTGTTTGTTTTTTAACTATCTAAGTAGGACAAGATGAGATCTCATGTTTACGTGCCACTTCAAAATCGATCACAGTAGATCCGCCTGAGGTTTCCACCCTTCACAGACATTAACTGGCAGAGATAGTTCTGACCCAGGAACGTGAAATTAACTAGTGTTCCCCACATAACTAAATAAGTTTTCACCCTCCAAAATCAATTTTCATCTAAGATTCTGATGTTGCCCTTTTTTAGATAGCTTGACAGATGAAAATATTGGTTCTCAAATCAGACAGCCTGTATTTGAATCCTAGGCTCTGCCACTGACCAACTTTGTGATCTTGGGCAAGTTACTGAGTTTTTCAGGCCTTGTTTTCTGCATCTGTAAAATGAAGATAGTAATAGTTTCTACTTCATGAGACAGTTCTAAATGAGATAAGCCACAATGCTGAACTCACAGTTCTTAGTAATATCAGCTATTGTCACTATTCCGCATTAGAGAGAAATACACTCAGAAAATGGGCTCCTGTTCTTCTTTACTATCTCAGAGTTTCTCTTTTAGATTCATCCATGTTATTAGGGGCCCAAGAAAGTGTTTTGAATTTAACTATTGGCAGTTGAAGGTGTCTGTCCATGCCTGCTGTATTAGGTTACTGGTCACCTGTGCTGTGCGTTCCAGTCCAGTGGGCAGCAAACATTTTTTATTAAGGACCAGATAGTAAATATCCTGGGTTTGGGGGCCATATATGATCGTTGTCACATATTCTTCTTCCCTTTTTTTCATCCTTTAAAAATGTAAGAACCATTCTTAGCTTGAGGGTCACACAAAAACAGTCTGCAGGTCACAGTTTGCTCACCCTGTCCTCTGTAACCCTGCCCTCTGATATGGCAAAGTCTTAAAGATTCTGTGCTATTTCATTCAAGTCAAAAGATGCTAGTCAAAAAAGAGCACATCCTAGTGTTGAAAATGTGGTATTTTTTAACTGGACTCCAATCTCTTCTACCCCCAAGCCCTTATATGTATTATATATAAGGAGTTTTACGGTTCTGTTTCTAAGACCAAGCAGGATTTGTGGAAGGACCCATTAGAGTCAATTTGACAATTACACCAATGTAGATAAGTTCTCTGTCTGTGATATTACTCCAGATTCACTTGGAGCTCAAGTCATGATTTTAATTTTAAATTTCTGGGGTTTTGCACCATCAGGTCTCATGTCTGGAGCAGTCGTGTTTAATGAAAATATTGTCTGTTGCTGTGAAGTAAGCAAACCATAATGAATATGAGTGTGACACTTTTTCACAGAAAAAAAACAGGCACAACCTTTGTGAAATGGCAGTATTAAATTGCAAGTGATGATAGTAAAGCAAATATTTAAATTCACAACTAAAATGGTATTTGTAAAATGTGGTTGCTAGGGAGAGCATGCCAGTTCATCATTCCTCAATCTGATTCTCTATAGGCAGAAGCATTACACATGTTTCCAGGGGAGAGAGTACTTATTTTAAATAAATTGCTTTGTGGCTCTTTAAGACTATGCAGAAGAAAGCTTTACTTATCAGGTCCTGACTTGGTCTTTGAAATGTTCACAGGCAGGGGATGTCTCTTGTACATGCTTGCTCCTTCTGTACTGGTGCTTTCTGAGCTGCAGTGTATTGATGGATGGCTTCATTTATCCCTAGGAGAGTTCCAGTGAAGGAGGTGATGGCATTTTCGGTGAAAAGAAGGATGACAGCCGGGCAGGTGAGACTGTATACTTCTGAAGGCAAAGAAAAGTAAGGTCCCAGTTTATAGTTATCCTGGAGTTTATATGTAATCAAAATGCTGCTTTTTAAGGAGGCATTGTTTAAAAGCCAAGTAAGTTGACCTTCATCAAACTCTTCTGGAATCATACATGGAGCTTTAACCTGGCTCTGGTTTCCTCAGCTGGCACTGAAATTCAAAAGTGAAATAAATGTTAATATCTTAAATTAGGATGGAGTCTGAGAGATAAAAAAGAGTTGGTTTTTGTTTTGCAAAGTTTGGGATGTTTGGTTTGGGTTTTTTTGTTTCTGAATTTTCTGAATTCAGATTTAACAAAGACTTTGGCAATTGGAAGTACCAGCTACACAAAAGCCTATATAAAGAAGGCAACAAAGGGTCTGTGCTTCAGAGCAAGGTCCTCAAATCAGTTCTGCCCTCACAGAAAGATACATCTGTGTTTGTGAGATAACAGAACCGACCACAGCATAAGCTGTTCCTGATGCAAAATTGTACCTCCTCCAGCTAGATACCTAGCTCCCGGGCCAGTCATTAAAATGGTGACTACTTTGATTAAATTAGCTTTGTTAGAGTCAACTTTGTTTTTATTTAAACAAAACCAAAAAAGTCACTCCTGTTTTAGTTCTGTTTGTAAATACTAATATCCTTACTGATGTTTGAAGCCCAGGATGGCTCCGACCCAGACAGATCACCCTGGCCAGTTTCATCTGCTCTCACGGCTCGTCTCAGACGTCTGGTCACTGTTTACCAGCGTTGTAACCGCAAAGAGCTATGCCGACCTGAAATTCTGGGACCAGGTAACCAAGGATACTGGATTCAGGAAGAGATGTTCAGGAGAACCACAGAAATGGACCTCATCAACAAGGAAGTCCAAAAAAGGTAAAAGCCAGTGGCCACAGGGGCACAGTGAGCTGCCCACTGGGTAAAGGTGAACAAAAGGTAAAGCCCATAGCTGCAGGCCAAGTGTATTTCTGTTCTCATGTGAAGGTAGGTCATCTCCAGAATTCATTAAATCCAGCCTTCAACTGTAATAGTGTTGTCATGGTGACAGGAGTCTGATGAAGTCTAGGATACCCTCTGTTCAAAACTCCCAGACTAGTCGGGCTCGGTGGCTCAGCCTGTAATCCCGCGCTTTGGGAGGCTGAGGTGAGTGGGTTGCCTGAGCCCACGGGTTCAAGAACAGCCTGGGCAAGTTGGTGAGACCTCATCTCTACAATAAATCAAAAACCAGCTGGGCGTGGTAGCGCGTGCCTGTAGTTCCAGCTACTTAGAAGGCTGAGGCGGAAGGATCGCTGGAACCCAGCAGGTCGAGGCTGCGGTGGCTGGGAGTGGCCACTTCGCTCCAGTCTGGGTGACAGAGTGAGACTCCAACTCAAAAAAAAAAAAAAGTTCCCAGACTTTTATGATTTTCCAACCTGACACTCTCCCTAAGTCAAGCTCCAATCTCTGGGGATGTGGTTTAGAAATACCACACACACTCAAATATATCAGACCATTTCACATTCCCTAGTTCTTTTAGCAACAAAGGGAATAGTGTGCAGTGAAGCTGTCTTATTATAACTGCAAGTCCCTATCAAGCCTTAAGAGCAATAAATACCATGCAAAATGCAAGCCCAGAAGGAAGGTATAAATTACCAGAAGTTACTTGCCCATCTGAGGATTAAACTTCAAAAGGCAATACAGACTGCTAGCACAGGCTAGGAATGATGCCATTAGAAAATATCATCGAAGCTTCATTTCTTTTTGGAGAAACATACAGTGAAGTAAAAGAAGACTATAGAGCAAATTCAGTTACTTCTCTGTACCCCTCTCACTATATTAAATGTGGTAGTTCAGGGAAAATATTTCTCCCATCCTGCATAGCTCCAAAGCAAAGAGCCAGGGCCCTTTCTTCCCTCCTTCTCACTCTTCAGTGACCCCTCACCCCACCTCCCATTCCTAGCCAGATTCCCTCTGGGGTAGAAAGCACCATTCCCAAGGACTCCTATGATGGCATATAATTATCCAGCTCCCTCAAGTCATTAACTTACTCCTATAAGATGCAAAGACTAGAAGATCTTTGTGTTCCAGAGAAAATCATTGATATGAGTAACCTGCATATATAAAACCAAGACGAAAGCTGGTGGGAGTCAGGGGATCTGTATATTGAAGCAGACACTTCCCTTCTCAGCACCAGGTTCTTGTTCTATAAGATGAAGAGGTTGAATTTAATAGTCTGGAAAGTCCCTCCAAGATATCTGATTCTAGGTTATCATATGGGGAAAAAATAAGGCAAGATATTTAAGCATATGTAGTATTTTTTACATCTTTATCTCCTACAAGCAGAAGTTAACTATAGGTAATTCCTAAAATGTATTAATCAAGAGAAAGCAGGTATACACACATGATTTAGCCTTGGGAGATAAATACCAGAAGAAAGAGCTGAAAGATTTGAAAGTAGGGTGATAGGCTTTTACTACTTTTGCTACTCTTTGGGAGCAGGATGATAGCTTTTCATTATGAGCCTCTCAGCCCAATTTAACTTACATAAAAATAAACAATAAAATACGCAAACCAGCTCTACCTACTTTCTTGATGTCATGGACTCCCATAGCAGGCACTCTGTAAGTTGTCGGCTTTTGGGGGGAAAAAGCCACTCACTCTCCCTTTTTCATTAAATCTCAAGGTGGACTAGGAGAGAACAAGCAGACTTCTATAGAACAGTGTCATCCTTTGGTGTTGTTTATGATCAAGAAAAGAAAACCTTTGACTGGACACAGTTCCGCATCATTTCCCGTTTGGACAAGAAGTCAGATGAGAGCCTGGAACACTATTTTTATAGTTTTGTAGCCATGTGCCGGAATGTCTGTCGTCTACCTGCATGGAAAGATGGTGGTGAGAAAATTCTTTGTCATATTGTCAGATAAGACAAGAAAAGGACATGCTGATTTTTCAAATTGCAGAATTACTTTGGGTATACCTATGAAAGTAGAGTCTACCTGAAGAAATCAGGTAGAGACAAGTGGGCTTTTAGAAATCATGAACTTCTAATTGGGTTCACTCATAAAATAAACTCTCTCTCCCAAAATGGTATAACTTGGCCAGGCACAGTGGCTCATGCCTGTAATTCCAGCATTTTGGGAGGCCGAGGGAGGAGGATTGCTTAAGTTCAGGAGTTCAGAACACCAGCCTGGTGAGACCTCATCTCTACAAAAAAAAAAGGAAAAAATGACGAAACTCCAGTGGAGGTTAAAATTCAGATTAAAATTTCCTAGAAACACTGAGAGACTACCATTTACTTTTTCCAAAGTGTAGTTCCTTGGGTTTTTTTGGTCATACCGAGATTTATCCTACTCTGAACTTTGCACCTTCCTTAGATTAAATCTTAATAGCTTTAAATGTTTCCTCATATGTTGACTGATAACTATAGAAAGTGGCTGTCATTTAAACATCCCTGATCCAATAGACAGCCCTTTTGAGAAATTTCTTCCTGGTTGGCATTTGCAATAGCTTCCTTCAGGTCTCCCTGCAGCCTCATATTTGTAGATAAACGATCTGAGACCATGTGAGCATATTTTAGGAAATCTAAAACAAACATTGAGCCCACCCAGCATGTATTTAGAGCTGATGGCAGCATGCACAGAAACCCCAACCTTTGCCCTCCCGTGTGGCATGGCTAACGTGTTTCCATTCAGACCAGGGAGCTGGGTATATTGGAAAGATCTGAACTTTGGAGTCACACTGAAAAACCCTGGATTTAAATCTTGGTTCTGCCACCTTGAGCAAGGTAGCTTATCTGCTTATCTGAGCTTGTTTCCTCATCCTTGAAATAGGACATGCATGATGAAGAAATATTGAACTAGGTAACATATATAAAGTACCAGCCGGGCTCGGTGGCTCAGCCTGTAATCCCGCTCTTTGGGAGGCTGAGGTGAGTGGATTGTCTGAGCCCGCGGGTTCGAGACCCACCTGGGCAACTTGGCGAGACCTCATCTCTACAATAAAATCAAAAAATTAGCCGGTTGTGGTAGTGCGCGCCTATAGTTCCAGCTACTTGGAAGGCTGAGGTGGAAGGATCGCCGGAGCCCAGCAGGTCGAGGCTGCGGTGGCCGGGAGCATGCCACTGTACTCCAGTCTGGGCAGAGTGAGACTCCAACTCAAAAAATAAAAAAAATAAAGTACCTAGTGTAGAGGGCACATAATACATGCTTTTTTTCCTCTCAAAGAGACAGAATCTCACTCTGTCACCCAAGATGGGGTGCAATGGCATGATCATAGCTCACTGTAACCTCAGACTCTTGGGTTCAAGCCATCTTCCTGCCTTAACCACCTGAATAGCTAGGACTATAGGTTCAAGCCACCACACCCAGCCTTCTATCTATCTATCTATCTATCTATCTATCTATCTATCTATCTATTTATCTATTTATCTATTTATTTAGTAGAGACAAGATCTCACTATGTTGCCCAGGCTGATCTTGAATTCCTGACCTCAGACGATCCTCCCCACTTGGTTTCCCAAAGTACTGAGATTATAGTATGAGCCACTGCACCTGTTCAGTACATGCTTATTTACAGGAAACTAGTACTATTTCCAGAACTAGAGTTTTCATGCCCTCTTTTACCCTCCCTGAGTCTGTCCTTGTTTTATAAAAACATTCCATATCCAAGCCTGGCACAGTGGCTCAAACCTGTAATCCCAGCACTTTGGGAGGCCAAAGTGAGAGGATTATTTGAGCCCATGGGTTCAAGAACAGCCCAGGCAACTCGGCGAGACCTCATCTCTACAATAAATAAAATTTTAAAAATTAGCCGAGTGTGGTAGTACACGCCTGTAGTTCTGGCTACTTGGAAGGCTGAGTCAGGAGGATCGCCTGAGCCCAGCAGGTTGACACTGGGGTGGTCATGAGCATGCCATTGCACTCTAGCCTGGGCAACAGAGTAAGATTCCAACTCAAAAAAAATTTCATTTTCTTTTAGTGTCCCACTTTAGCAAGGGCCCACACACCTAAAACTGCCCTGCTGAGGAACTAGGGAGTTAAACTATAAGACTAAAGATGCAAAGGCTCAGGTGGGCAGGGAGTGTCCAGGGACTACCTTAAGCGACAGTGTCTGTGTTTCCCTGTCTCTCCAGGTACCCCAGATGCCACCATCTACGTTGAACCCATTACTGAGGAACGGGCCGCAAGAACTCTGTACCGCATTGAGCTGTTACGGAAGGTCCGAGAACACGTGCTCAAGTGTCCTCAGTTGCATGAACGCCTCCAGCTTTGCAGACCCAGCCTCTACCTCCCAGTCTGGTGGGAGTGTGGGAAGCATGATCGAGACCTGCTCATCGGCACTGCCAAACATGGGCTGAATCGCACGGACTGTTACATCATGAACGACCCCCAGCTGTCCTTCCTGGATGCCTATAGAAACTACGCCCAGCATAAAAGATCTGATGTTCAGGCACCAGGAAGTCTCTGTTGCCTTTACCAGACCAACTCCAAATTATATGACTCTCTTACATATACTCAAATGCGTAGGACTTCAGAGTCCCTTGAAAATGAACCTGAGAATCTAGTGAAAGAAGAAGGCAGAGATGATCATCTCAGTCTGCCTGATATGACTTGTGAAAACTTTATTTCTAAAGTTCAGGATGTCATTTCCATTAACCATGATGAAAGTCTGCTGCCTGAGTCCTTGGAGAGTGTGATATATGGTAAGAAGGTGCTTAGCCGAGAATCAGGCTCTTTTCAGGACATCCCAAATACCAGTGCAGAATCCAGAAAAGATACTATTGCCATCTCAGCCAGCAAAGATAGGAGCTGCCGGTCTGGTGACCATGAGGCAGAAATAGCTTCAGGCTCCTCTTTTATGAGTAGCTTAGAAGCAGGAGTAGCTCAAATGAGCATTCAAAATGGAAAACATCTGTTGATGTCTTTTTCAAAGGAAGGGGAGCTCTGCTGCAGTGAAGCAGGGCAGAGGCCTGAAAGCATCGAGCAGCTAGAAGCCAAATGCTTACCCTCCCCTTCCTTGGATCCAGGAAATGAAAGTGGGTTTGTAGATATGTGCAATCTTAGTATCTGTGATTCCAAAAGAAATCTGTCATCAGATCAGCAATTAATTGATTTACTAGAGAACAAAAGCTTAGAAAGTAAATTGATTTTGAGTCAGAACCACAGTGATGAGGAGGAGGAAGAGGAGGAAAATGAGGAAGAAAACTTAGCTGTGGCAACAGGCATGAGGGAAAAGACAGGGGTATTGCATCTCACAGAGCCCACTACTAACATCCTAAGGGAAAAGAGCCGGGTCTTTCATGTAGATGAAACCAAGAAAGGAAGCCTGGAGGCAGCAAGCCAGACTGCTGGACCACAGAAGACTTTCCCTCCAGCAACCTGTCAGTGTCACTGCAAACACATGGAAAGGTGGACTCATGGCCTCGAGAATGATGAATTTGAAGTGGCGAAGTCCAAGGCTTATAACCCAGACCTGTACAAAAGCAAAACCAATAATATTACTACCATGGAGGATGAGCCCACTGCTATTCCATCAGAGCCATTTAAAGTAAAGCATGAGCTTTTAAAAGAACCTTGGAAAGAAAGTATAGATGGGAAAAAAGGTTTCCCCATGTATCCTCTTGAAGGAAGTGAGCTCAAGTCAGAAGACATGGACTTTGAAAATAAAGATGATTATGATAGAGATGGAAACTGCCATAGTCAAGGTACAGTCTGTATGATTCAGTTCTCACTTGACAGGGAGATTAGGGGGTTGGGGGTGTGTTTAGTAGTTGTATGGCTTCTGAAACAGAAGCCACCTGCCCTCACTTTGATGTGTTTAACATCAAAGGTCATAGACCTTGGACTAAAAATTAGATTATCTGTGGTCATTCCAGAAAATTGAGGGAGACGAAAGACAATCATAGCATCTTTGCTGCATCAACTGTGTGATTTGGCAGGATCCTGTGTGCTTTTATATAATACATGTCAAGGGGAAGTAGTTTGTTCTTCCACTAGTTAGGGTGCTTCAAACTGGTTAAAGTAAAACAGGCTTGGGATATCAGGAACTCACAAAAACACAAATAAATTTGGTCTTTGTTAAGGTAAGCAAAGAAAGTTCCATTTATTCATATCATCATCAAAACCCTGTGGTTTAGGCCAGGCATGGTGGTTCACACCTGTAATCTCAACACTTTGGGAGGATGACTTGAGGCTAGGAGTTCGAGACCAGCCTTGGCAACATAGCAAGACCCTGTCTCTACAAAAAAATTAAAAATTAGCCAGGCATGGTGGTACATGCCTATAGTCCCAGCTATCTGGGATGCTGAGGTGGGAGGGTCGCTTGAGCCCAGGAATTTGTGACTGTAGTGAGCTGTGATTGTGCCACTGTACTCCAGCCTAGGAGACAGAGCAAGACCACGTCTCAACAACAAAAAACAGTCTGGGCAACAGTGAGACCCTGTTTCTAAAAATAAATAAAATCCCCCATCTTGGTTTTAGTCATTGTGATTAGTGGCTTATCTTGGGAAGGGTTCTGAACCCAAGTTAAAATTTACACACTAGCTAATATAAGGACTGAGAAACTGAATTGATACTAGCTTAATATATTTGTAGCCCCAGCCGACCCAGAAGGAGCCAGTCTACAACCATGCCTGATCCTCCTCACCCCAGCCCATGAAGGATCACTGCCACGTATTGAATTATAAAACCCACATTGCTTTTTGAACCCTATTGCAGGGTAAATCACCAAATAATCGGTCCTTGGAAACCCAGACACCTAAATGAGCACGGGGTAAAGATAAGTATCATTACAGGGAGAAGAAATGTTCCTGAGCTGATGTCCTTTGGTGCCAGCATCAGCCTTGCTAAGTCAGGGTGAGGACAGCAGTGACCTTGATAAGCTTTGGTGAACATCGTGCATACACATGAGCGGGAGTCCCTTGCACAGATGCTTTTAAAAGTGCTTTTGCAGATCTTGGGTGGGCTCCTCCACACATTGGAAGTGTGAGACAGTGGGGCAGGATAGGTCAAACCTGCTTTTAAAACTACACATCTACAGTCCTGAAGGAGTAGTCATTAATTGTTACACCTCTCAGAGCCAGCCCTAGATCACTCTTTTTCTGGGGTTTTCTCTCACACATCATTTTGCTTTTTCTTAAATACAGTTCCTCTGCTTAAAACCTCTCAAGGGTGCTCCCTACTGAATCTAGAAAAAAATCCAAATTTTCTGTCATGACTGACAGGATTCAGCATATTCTGAATGATTTCTACCTCCCCCCCCATAATCATCTCTGTGCTTTTCTCTTAGCCTCCCTTTAGTTCCTCAGCATGTCCAGAACGCCCTTCCCCATTGCCGCCTCATCTTAGCGGTGTACCTTCCTCCAGGAACCTCTACCAGCCTGCTTAGTAGGTCCTTCTCTCATATTCCCTATCATGGCACCTTGTTTTTTTCCCTTGATAGCACTTCCCATGGCTTAATTTTAGTTACTCCTTAATTTTCTGGCTGTCATGAGACTGTAAGAACCTTGAGATCCAGGCCACATCTACTTTGTTTATCCTGAGTCCACTGGGCCTACCAAGTCCCTGTGAATGGTAAAGGGTCTCAGCAGCTCACTAAGGAGACTTGCTGCACTTCAAAAGTGAGATGTCCTCATTTCAGAGAATAGACATTTCTTGTCATTTCACCCAGAAAGAGGTCCACAGTGTTTCCTGCCTTGGGCATTTCACTACCATATGTTCATTCCCTGTCATTACTAGTAAGTGGATCTTTGAAGATTCATTTCACATTGATAATAAACTTTTGCCATAACTGATGCTTGAAAGAATGAGTTGCATTTCCATTTCTTTCCACCAGTGAAGTAATTGAAATGTCTAAGTTTCTTTGCACTGTTTTTTACATGAATCAAGTCCATCTTACCTTTGTTGTAAGTTTCATGACTTTTTATCTTTCATTATTAATATCACAATGTTTCTGTATTATGTTTCATATTTCATAGACTGTCCCTTCAAATGTATCAAAGTATTATAATGTTCAACTTTCTTTTGTCCGCTACACTAAATGAGAAGCCCTTTCATGGTTTATTCCTCTCCTCTCACTCACTCTTGGATACACAAGAAAAATTTCCTTTCTGTTTTATTTTTTCGTTGGGGGGGTATGGATGAAAACTCTTACTAGATGATGTGCCTTGGTAGCCCCAAAGCAAGACTTGCCTTTACGGCTTAACTGATATGGTACTCCTGGAAATTGAAGGTATGGAATTAATACTCTATTTAAAATAAATTTGCACAGAATGGGCTAATTTAAAAAGCAAAAAGAAAAGACAGATCGGGATGTCCTGATCTCTCAGATCACTACTGTCGCCCAAGTGCCTGATTAATTTTTTTAACCTCTCTTTCTAGAGTATCAAGGGAAATACTCTGAAGAGGAGAGCAAGAGCTCAACCTCAGGCATTGTGGGAGACATTGGGGATGACCTGCAGGAGGTGCGGGCACCTACCATTGCTCAACTGCTACAGGAGAAAACCCTCTATTCCTTCTCTGAGTGGCCAAAGGTACCCCCAAAGCTTGCTTTTTCCCCCCACAGCATTCTTATCTTAGAATCTTTTATCTTAAACCCTTTAGAATAATTCTGAGAGATGTTTAATATCTTTAACTGGTATTAGGTATGTAACATTTGAACTTTAAAGATGTATGCACTTGACTAATCAGACTGTAAGACGAAGTGTCCAATTGTTCACGTATTTATAGTACAAAGGCTTTAAATGTCATTGTCCAGACTATGATTTTTATTTTAAGACTTATAAAGTGAGTATGTTTGAGTGTGTTCTTTTCTAATCAGCTCCTTCTGGTGAGAAAACTTGAGCCTTGAGCTCAAAGGGCTCTGTGAATTTAGGTAACTTTGTACTTTTTCTTCAGAACTGTTATCCTTTTTTCTAGGATCGTGTGATAATTAACCGCCTAGATAATATCTGCCATGTAGTGTTAAAGGGGAAGTGGCCCTCCAGCCAGCAGTATGAGCCTTCGGACACACTGCCCACCCCAGCATTAACCAGCAGTACTGGTTCTCGAAACAGCCTCTCAGAGCCAGAAGCAGCAGAGCACAGCTTCAGCAATGGTGCAGCATTAGCGGCCCAGATCCAGAAGGTGAGGCTGTAGGAATGGTGTTGACCACAAAGCACAGAGGAGTGGGTGTGTTCCACTTCAACTGAGTCCATTTATACAACATATATATGCTGAATGGTAGTGGGGGAGTTGTCAAGCCATTACTGTTAATTGAAGAATTTAGACTTTAATCACATAGCCAGTGGAGAGCTAGTAAAAGTTTTGGAACAGGAGAATGCATAATAAATGCAAGGTTTTACATCTCACTTGGGATGATATGTAGTTTGGCTGGGGAGACAGGCAGAAATCTGATGTAAAGAGAAGGTTCTAGACTCTAGATTAGTGGCAGAGTGGGTACAAAGAACAGGGTAATTGGCAAAGATTACTCTGTGACTAACAAATAAAAGGAAAGGGAGTCATGAATCGACTAGTGTGTTCACCTTGGTAGGAGTGAACAATGGCAGCTGATAGAAATTAAGGAAGTCAAGGCAGAAGTGAGCATTTTGGTGGCAGGTACATCGTAGCACACTGGTTCTCACTCTGAACTGCTCATTGGAATCAGCTGGGTACCTGATTTAACTGTCCTGGGGTATGGTCTGGGTATTAGGGTTTTTTTTTTAACTTCCCAGGTGATGGTGATACACAGCTGTAGCCAAGCACCCCTGAGATCTAGTCTTGCAACTCCAAGTATAGTTCATGGACTAGCAGCTTTAGCAGCACCTGGAAACTTTTTTAAAATGGAGACTCTCAGGCCCACTGAAGTATAATCTGCATTTTAACAAGCTGTCCAGGTGATGTGGAACTAAGGTTTGAGGAGGCTTGACTTAGAAGAACTTCTAAGAAGTTGATTGGAAATAATATAAGACCTGGAGGAAATCAGGCCTGGAGCAAGAGCTGGCATTCAGCCACAGAAGTGGCATTCAAAGCTCTTTTATTGTTTGTTCACAGGAGAGCTTCTTGGCTCCAGTATTCGCAAAGGATGAACAAAAGCACAGGCGTCCCTACGAGTTTGAGGTGGAGAGGGATGCAAAGGGTCGGAGCCTGGAGCAATTCTCCGCCTCCCATGGGCATCCCCCTATCGTCCTTAATGGCTGGCATGGGGAATCAGCAATAGACCTCTCCTGCTCATCAGAGGGGTCCCCAGGAGCTACATCCCCTTTCCCAGTGAGCACTAGCACCCCTAAGATTGGGGCTATTGGTTCACTTCAAGGAGCTCTTGGCATGGACTTGTCTGGGATTCTGCAAGCTGGCCTGATCCATCCAGTGACTGGACAGATTGTCAATGGAAACCTCAGAAGAGATGATGCAGCCACAAGGAGGCGGAGAGGGAGACGGAAACATGTTGAAGGAGGGATGGACCTCATCTTCCTGAAGGAGCAAACGCTTCAGGCAGGAATCTTGGTGAGCATAAAGGCTGTTGAGTGAAAACATTGACAAATCCTTCTTTTCTCAGACACAAAATATTTTGTTTTATGGATCCTTTATTCCTATTTTGGTTGTCCTGCTTTGTTTTCTCTCATTATAAACTGCCCCCAACTCTTCTAGAAATAAGTAGTTACTAACCCATTAATGGTCCTTAATCTGCTTACATCTGAGAGAAACAAGTCAGGAGATCTTGCCACTTCAGATAGAAACAGCTCAGATCCTCCCCAGTGATGGAACAGCAGAGCAAGTGGCAGGGCTGAGCTTGTCGCAGCACTTCTTCAGGGCACTGAGGCTCTCCAGGGTATGAGAGAAAGAACAGAGTTGATCCTGGCTCTACTTCTTAACTCACTGGACACTGGGCTTACCACTGAGCTTCATTCTGCTTCTCTGTAAAGTGCAGCAAGAGCATGTACTACAGAGGATTGCCATGAGGTTTCATAGAGATCGTATGAGACCACAAGATAGTATATTGTATACTCCCAGGAGATCATTGTCAGCATCAGAAAGGATCAGAATCTATACCTGGTCAAGAGAGATCCCCTTTAAATTTTGTTTAATGCTTTATGTTGTATTTTGGCTTTTCCCATTTATTGGATTTTGAGTTCCAAAACAATCACATTTTATGTCTTAATATTTTAAAAGGAATAATAATAGCTAGTATTGAGTGCCTACTGTGTGCCAAGTGCACTGTGTTCGAGGCTTTACATCATTATCCTGTTTGATCCTCACAACAACCCTGGAAAGGTAGGTTTTATTGTTATTCCCATTTTATAGATTAGGAAACTGAGACTTTAAAACATTCAGTGATTTGTCCAAGATTGTCCAGCTAGTAAGTGGTAGAGCAGGAAACCAAGGATCTTGTTCTCTCGATGCTGAGATCTTTACTACTAAGTCATATTGTTTGGGATATCTTCCTCTTAGACTTTCTGTATAATTTAGGAAGCTGAGGTGACAGGTTCTTTCCCTGCCCAATTCTGCAAGCTTTTAAGAAGTTTGTCAGCTGGGCGCAGTGGCTCAAGCCTATAATCCCAGCACTTTGGGAGGCCAAGGCAAGAGGATTACTTGAGTCCACAGGTTCGAGACCAGCCTGGGCAACATGGTGAGACCTCATCTCTACAATAAATCAGAAATTAGCTGGGCATGGTAGCGTGTGCCTGTAGTTCCGGCTACTTGAAAGGCTAAGGCAAGGGATCGCCTGAGTCCAGCAGGTAGAGGCTGTGGTGGCTGAAAGCATTCCACTGCACTCTAGCCTGGGCAACAAAGTGAGACTCCAACTCAAAAAAAAAAAAGTTTGTCACGTGCAGAGCCATGGTTTCTCTGTAATGATCATAGAATTCCAATGGATGACTGATAAAATGTTTCCCCTTGTTCTCAGAGTATTTTTAAAATGTATTAATACAGATACTTACTTAGCACTGACATGTGTCTTAGCAGTAGACACATTCTAAACATTGATAATACAGAGGTAAGACAGGCTTTCAAACTTTAGAGGGTAAATAGGTGACTAATTTGCAGTGTGACATTTTTGTTATATGAGGGAGCTGGGAACAGAGTACTGTGGACACAGGAGCTGGAGCCACTGGTGTTGCTCGGAGCAGTGGGTAGTGGAACACTGAATCCGGACAGTCAGGCTGGAGTCATAGCTTACCAAGGAGACAGGAGAGGGAGAAGAGCATTCAGGTATAGGGACCACTCAGCATGCACAAGAGCTATGGTGGGGCAGCAGTGTGGGGGGCTGTCATTCAGGTACCCCAGCTGAGTACTGTCAGGTGAAAATAGATGGAACGATTTGAAGAACCCTTTGTATGTTTTCTTTTTAGAAACTGGTTTTCATTCTGTCATGATTAACCGCACATACTCATTTTTCCTTTATCCAGGAAGTCCATGAAGACCCAGGGCAGGCCACCCTGAGCACTGCACACCCTGAGGGGCCAGGGTCTGCTCCCTCAGTCCCCGAACCAGCAGCAGCAGCTGGCAGCCCAGCTGAGAAAGCCGTTCCCAGCAAGAGTCTGCTTGATTGGCTGAGACAGCAGGCTGACTATTCCTTAGAAGTTCCCAGCTTCGGGGCAGTAAGTATTTGTTAATGCTGCCCGAGATCACTGTTTACTTCCTGCTGACTTGTTGCTGCTCTTAATAAAAGCATGCTGAGGGAAACCAAGAAGCTGAGAAGCTATTTGGGAGAAATCTGTGTCAACTGAGAGCATCATTTTAAAGTTTTTTTTGTCTTTAAGTTTTAATTTTGGTAAAATTCTCCATAATAGAAATGACAGCCCACATCAAAACACTATGACAAAATGTAGATATGCAAAATCTTAAGAGAACAGAGCTTGCCTAGGTCCAAGCTCCTTGTTCCCACAAAGAAATTGCCCCACAATATCATAAGTTCATAAAGAAATCATGTTGCATAAACTCTGCCACTTGCTGACAGTTTTCTATGTATTATTTTCAAGTTAATACATACTACTTTTGGTGGTTGGAGGGCAGTCTGTTCTTTTATAGTTATTGCTTCTGGACATTCCCTTCAAGTCATCTTACTACCTTTGCCCTAAGTCCTTCAGATTAGAGCTTTTACTGCCATTGCCCTAAGCCCTTCAGTTAGAGGGCTCCTGAGCACTAATGTCTTTTCTTGGTTTTTCTTTTCTCACTTGCTCACCTACCCCACCACCATCTTTGTCCTGGGTACACTTAAACTAAGATTCATAGATAGCACACAGAACAAGGAGAATGCACTTGCAGATGCGCACTCTCCAGGGACAGGCAAAACCAAACCAGGTATATAGCAGTGGAGACAGAATCCCAAAAGTGATAGATCAGGTATATAGCAGTGGAGACAGAATCCCAAAAGTGATAGAGAAGATGGCCGGGCATAAGCAGTGCCCTGAAACCAGGTGAGTCAGCTCAGGTGTTCTAGTCTGGAGGGCCAGATGGTCCACACAGCCTGTTTTCCAGTTTACCGCAGGCACACTGGTACTTCAAGGAAAGAAAATCTAGCTGGCTCTTTCCTTCAGCCCAACCTGCCCAGGTCCTGTGCAGAGGGTCATTGATGAGAAAAATAACAAAACGAGCTGAGAAGCACCATCCTCATCAGCGGAATCTATGACAGAATGTCTCATAATGTTGGTCTCCATTTGCCTCCTAGAATTTTTCAGACAAACCAAAGCAGAGGAGGCCACGCTGTAAAGAACCTGGAAAATTAGACATCAGCTCTCTGAGTGGGGAAGAGAGGGTCCCTGCCGTCTCCAAGGAGCCAGGACTGAGGGTAAGAAAGAGGAAGCATGGGGCCGTGGGAAACATCCCAACTGGCATTTTTGAGACAACTCCCCAGCTGGAAAGTGGGTAGCTGGGTGACATCTTTCAAGAGGGCAGGAAGCTAAAAGCACTGAGAATTGTCAGTGTGGCATTTTGAGCACTGTGTGACTCCTGGCAGTCATTTACTTTCAGCCCTTACCTCCAAAACTGGCTGTGAAACCACTCCCAAAGCTTGATTTTGTTGTTGTTGTTCTTGTTCCTGTTTGTAGAGTTACAAGAGAAAAGAACCCTTAGACTTCATCAGCAGTCTTTCCAGTGTTTAACAAACTTCACTATTGGAAGTTTTCATTTTCTAATCTACCTTTTTCTGGCATTTAAGACATTTCTTCCCAGACCAGCCTCTGTGGCAATGAAAAACAGCAGCTGACTCTAAGCACTACCCTTTTCCTATTATAGAATCATGACACTGAAATGGACTTCAAAGACTTCTGTAGAAAACTTCTGGCATAACGAGTTCGAGTTAATTATAGTTTACAGATGAGTGCAAATTTGGAATAGAAATAGTCATAACCTCTAGGGGGCAGTAATAACATTTCAACTTGAAAATGTGTTTGAATTTGGGCAGATTACACATAAATGTGCTTTCAACTTCCTCAAAAAGCATTCTGCCCAAAAAGGGAGCCTCTGAAGATGCCTGTGAGGACGTCTGCTCTTCCAGGCTATTCCATAAACTCAAGCTTTTCTAAATACCCTCTCTTAAGTCCTCTGCCAGCTGTACTTTCCTTGAATAGGAATTCCTTTCTTGGTGAGATTGCCTCAATATGATTTATTTTTTAGCTCCAGAAGAATATCCACCTTAGCCATTTCTTCCTTGTGTAGAAATCAGTTGTCATTTAATGTTCTGGAGGAACCTGTCACTGAGTTTGTCACCTGGATTATCACTTATCTAACAGCTCCACAAACGATGTCCCAGTGCTTCTCCTCTTCTGCTAGACAGGCCCTTGGAGGAATACCCGGGCCCTGGGTAGTCTCTCACATTGGAATAGCTACCCTCTTTTCCCCTCTCTTGCTTTAGTCTCAGAAAATGATGCTTCCATCTTTTTCTTAGATCTGCTTGTACAATCTTTACCGGCTCAGCTTCCATCTATCCCGCCTGTCTCTGCTCGGCCCTGCATGCTCCTCCCACCTTCTCCTTTTGTCTTGGCACATGGTGTCTTGCTGTCAAGAGAAGGCCTCCGATTCTTGCTTTGTCTCAGAGTTCTTGCTTTAGAGATATGTCAGGAAAAAAAAACCCCATGTGGTTTTTCCCCTTGGCATTCTTCTTTCTTTCTCCATGTCTAACAGTTTCCTTCATGTTCCTTGGAAATTAATATTCATCCCTCGCTACAGACACTGATCCTTTGCCAGAAAACCCATTTCTAAGCTATTCTTGCAGCCAGCCTCTTCCCAGAGACGCATTTCCCTCCTTTGTTAAATAAACACACTCCCTGCCTCAGAGGCCCTTTTCTTGCAGTAAGGCAAGAACAGGAAGCACTTGTCCACTTGGTCCTCAGGACTGCTCAGTCTTCCCAACAGGGCTAACCTGTTTCCTGCAGCTTCTCTGGGGATGCAAGCCTTCTAGAGTACATTGCACTCTTTTTCTTTGCCATAGAAACTCTTAGTTCATTCAGGCTCCCATGATAGGATACCACAGACTAGGGACGAGGGAGCTTATAAAGAACAGAAACATATTTTCCACAGTTCTGGTGGCTGGAGAATCCAACATCAAGTCGCTGGCAGATTTGGGTGTCTGGTGAGGACCCATTCCACATAGACAGCTGTCTTTTCACTGTGTCTTCACGTGGAGGAAGGAATGAATGAGCTCTCATAAGATCACTAATACCATTCATGAGGGCTCGGTCCCTATGACATCCCAAAGTCCCCATATCAATCACCTTAGGGGTTAGGATTTCAACAATTAATTTGAGGAGACACAAGCATTCGTAGCAAAAACACTACCCCTTCTTTTAGAAGTAGATTAAAATCCCGCAGAGAACTTTCTTTGAACTCAGGACCGTTTGCCATATGTGCTTTGGCTAGTCAAGGTCCACAGAGTCAGCATAACACAGACTGCAGGTAAGGCCTAGGATTGGACTCTGGAATGCCCAGTACATAGTGGTTGCTCATTAAATAAATATATACATGTGCATATACCTAATATAGCTCATATATGTAAGTTATATTTGTTTTGCACATATATGTATAGCTTTTGTTTTTTTTGGTGAGCCATTTGACAGTGAATTGCTGGCATGACATATTATCCTTAAATGTTTCAGCATGCATCGTTTAAGAACATTTTCCTACATAATTATTGCCATTATTATATGTGCATATTAATAATATCTAATATCTTGTCCATATTTAGATTCCACCAGTTGTCCCAAGAATGGCATTTAGAGCTGGAAAGTTCTTTTGTTTTGTTTTGGTTTTAGGATTTTTAAATGAGAAGCCGCACATTGCCTTTGGTTGTTAGGTCTCTTTTCACCCCGTGAATATTTGTTGAATGAGCTTACTCCTTCCTGGGAGGAGAAAGGAAGCTCTGGTCATCACCTTCTCTTAAGTCTGCCCAAGAGTTAATTTTTAGAGTTGGAATAAATGCTACCATGTATTGATGAGGATGTTCTTCTTGGATTGGAATACCAATGTAATCATCTAAAAAGCAGATTGCCTCCAGTGTTGCTTGAACACAAGGAATCGCCTTTTCCTTGCTTTCTTTGCCCTCTCCCCAGGCCTCCCCTGGAAGAGGAAGCAGTTTTGCTCCCAGGGTATAATTACCAAGAGGGAGAACTGCCAAAGCCCGCCGTGGTCGCTGTGTGTGGTCGCCGAGCTGCTGGGAGGGGCACCTGACTGGGGTGGGCAGCAGCTGGTGACTGGAGTGGCTCTCCTCCACAGGAAGTGGTTAAAGCTGCTTCCTTTGCCAGCACGCCTCTTGCTCTGCTGTAGATGAAGAACTGTTTTCTTCATCCCTGGGGCCTTTCTGCTGCTGCTCTCTAGATCTGAAGGGGAAAGATAACAGCAGGCTCTCATTTCTGAATGGGCCCAGCATTCTCCCTACATCCGTGGTTCTCAGCAAGAGTAAAGGCCAGGAAAGGATGTTTGGGGACATCCTGATGCTTAAATAGTGCAACTTTCACAAAGTGGGCCAGGACCAAGGAGGCCAAAGGTCCTGTGGGGTGTAGGCTGGTCCTAGACGCCCTGACAAGGGACTCAAAGCATGTTAAAGAAGATCTGACTTATAGCAGATTGCTTGAAAATAAGGAGGTGTTATTCATCAAGCCTTGGCTTGTTTTCTTCGCAACAGAAAGACTTCTGAGATAGAACATGGCCCTCTCACTGGAGAATTATCAGGGAAAGTTATGAGGAAACATTTGTGGGTGTAAAGGAAAAAGACATACCCCAGCACCTTTCCCTGGCTCTTAATTGTGGGTGGGCTGCAAGAAGAGGGCTCAGGAAGGCCTTGTGGTTGAGTTGTGGTTACCCTGACCAAGGTCCTGGGCAGAGGGGACATGCCAGCAAGGGCCTGCAACTGCACACGGAATAGACAAAGTGGCTGGCCCAGAATGAGGTGATTTGCATTGTTGAGCTCAAGACAAGACTGATAAGAAATTATTCTCTTAGCCTGAGGCCATCCATCAGATCCTACTGTCTCTCTTTAGAAATAGGAACCAGCCAGGAATTGCTTCCCTAGTAATTGTCTCCAGAGCCCGAACAGGCAGTTACCCAGCCCACTCCAGGAGAAATCAGCCTGGCAAGCTGCAGGTGGCTGATCCTGTTGGGAATAAGAAGGGTGTGGTGTGGTGGGGTGGGGTGGGGTGGGGTGGGTTGTGGTGTGGTGTGGTGTGGTGATTGGAAAGAACCCTGGACTTAAAGGGGTTCTCACCTGCTCTGTCCCTGACCAGCCGCCCCAGAGCAAGTCCTGTGCCTTTCTGTGTGTAAAAAGGAAGAAGGCTAAACATGACAGTTCAGGGGTTTCTTCCAGCCCTGTGATATTGAACCAAGGCTTTTTTAGAAGAATTTTCTCCTCAAAGTTGCCATCATAAAGCTTTTTGTACAGGAAAAACTGGTTTTTCTTGGACATTCTTGAGAAACTGAAGGACTGGTGTAGGACTTCAAAAAAATAACTCTTTCTGGGGCTTGAAAGCATTCAGGTACACATGTTTTCACCCATCTCTGAATCTTAAATTCCCTAAAGCAGTCATGATAGACTCTATAGGGTCATCGTACGGACTTACTGAGGTAATGCTGATGGAGCCCTTAGCATAGTGCCTCATATGTGGTCAGTTCTGCTTTCATGGTGTCTGGCATTCCTGCTGCTCATCCTGTTGCTGCCACCACCTTCACTGCCACCACCTTCACTGCCTCCTGATAGCTGTCTCCTCACTGTTGAGCACTCACTACTGTGGGAACCAACGCAGGCCAGCTGCTGCCCATTTGGGGCCCACCACACACATGTCTTCACAGTTCGTGGGAGCCTGAAGCCAGTGCCACCAACTAGTCATACAACTGCCCCCTTAAAAACTCTGGATTTTCTAGGAATTTTGCTTTCTAATAATTTGGGGAGAAGAGAGGCAGTGAAACAAATGGGAAATCCCAGAGCCACTGAATTAAAATTCAGGTCATAGTCCTTGGGAAAATCATAAACAGATTCCTTATGTGCTCTCAGGCCTGGTCACCAGTCTCAGCCCTTAGGTATCCTTAGCTTCCCTGAGTTATTTCTCCACCTTCTGTAGGGCCCCAGGTCCTCGTAATAGAATTTTTCTGACCCTTCTGGTGTCTTTTGGTGAGACCAGCACCTCTTTTTTGTCCCAGGAATGTGCTCCATGAAGGAGTGCAGCCGGGTCCCTGCCTCTTATTCCCAAAGATAGAGGCTGAGGCTGCAGCAGCTTCAGCTGCTTCTCATCAGACCCCACGCTCTACTCACTGCAGACTCCAGCGGGAAGGGAAGGAATCTGCACGAAGGACAGTCCTGAAAAGACAACAGATGCAGCATGTGGAGATGTGTTGGCCACCCAGTTACGCACTGTTGCACTCTCCCACTTCATGCTGCTCTGTAGGCACCATGTTCCAGCCACAGTGGTAAACTGTCCCCTCAGTGGGATCTAGTGTGGCAAGATCTATCAAGGCCATTCTGAATATCTTAGCTTCACCAGTGCCATAGCCAAAGGAAAGAGGCTGAAATAACACCGATTTCATAACAGGTACCATAAGAAGGAGATGCCTGTGCTGTTGGAGCCTCTTCAGCATAGCTCGGAAAGGGCAACTCCTTCAGGCACCAGCAGAGGAGGGCTTTTGCTCCATGCAGTCCTTCTCCATATGAGAAAACTTGGGGACCACTGGGCTGCACAAGAGAAATGTGCTTGTTTTTAATTCTATAGGCACGTCTTGCTTGATAAGCTGCTAGCATCGAGGAGTGGGGAGGGCAGTCGTCCAGGGGCTCAGGAACCACAGGCACTGAGTACCGAAAGAAACTGCTCCATTTCTGGGGGAAGACATTGCTCTCTTTGTAAGGAGATTTTTTACATCTTTGAAATAAAGTCAGAGACAGATCACTGGAATTGCAGTGGTTTGCTTATGCTCTGGGAATCAGGTTCCCAGCCATGTCCTCACTGCCCTGCAGGGCTCCTGGCCCCATGTGCAGCCTGCACATTCCTCTCCACATGCTGCCTCCTACCTGCTGATACTGTTGGAACACTCTGCTCTCCTCTGCAATTCTGTGTAGCTTAGCCATCCTGATGGGTGATGGACGTATCCAGGTGCACATGTCTGACAGCCCGGGTGCAGTTAGAAGGCCCGGGCCCCATCACAGTGTGGTCCACGTGGAGCAGAGTGCTTTACTGAGGAGCTCTTTGCTAAGTAAGAAAACTGGAGAGTAAACTTCCAAATAGAGGAAAAACAGATAATCTCCCTTAAGGGAAACCAGAGCATCACTTATTTTGGTGGCAGTTCCCCGGCAATGTTCAAGAAATCCTTCACTTCAACAAACATGTACTGTTCCCTGGAAATGTTCAAGAAATCCTTCACTTCAACAAACATGTCCTCACCCCATTACATTTACCCTCCAGGAGCGTGGGATCCAGAGGGGCATGGGGCACTCACAGTTAATAAGCAGTGCCCCCTTGAGCAAGCACTGCTTCCTGTGGGTCAGGTCATGTAGCAGATATTTCACTTTCAGTGACCCCGAGAGAGGTGCTATTGTCCTTTTCACCAAAACTCTGAGAAGTTAACTGACTTGTCCTAAGTCTCACAGCTAGGGGGTTGCGGAGTCAGATTTTAAACTCAGGTCTTACTGACTCCAAATCTCTGCCTTAGGTTCTCTGCTTTGTTGCTTTAATAAAAACCTTCCTGTGTCATGAGAAAGTGAACGTTGGGATTTGGTGAAGGGGTGGCAGCCATAAGAGTCTCAGCTGGCCAGGACATCATTCATACTAGTCCCCAGCTCTTTGCCAGCTTCTCACAGGCTGGATGCCACCTTTACTGATGAGTGTGTTAGAAGCACCACCGGGTGGTGACAGGCACCCTTGTTGTGCTTGTGCCACCAATTGCTCTTGACTGCTGAGGGAGGAGCCCTTCAGGTACAGTCAAACCAGAGAGCTGCTCCCACTGGGACCCTTCGTGGAGCTCGGGGACAGGCTAGGCCAGTGTAGAGCCCCCAGCTGACCACCTGCCATTCAGTAACCTTCAGCATCTTGTGTTTGTTCTTTTTCAGGGGTTTCTCCCAGAAAACAAGTTCAATCACACCCTTCCCGAGCCTGTTCTTCGAGATTCAGGCCCCCGCAGGAGGGGAAGGCGGCCTCGGAGTGAACTCCTGAAAGCTCCCACCATTGTGGCAGACTCTCCCTCGGGAATGGGGCCACTGTTCATGAATGGACTAATTGCTGGGATGGACCTGGTAGGACTACAGAACATGAGAAATATGCCAGGCATACCCCTCACTGGGCTAGTGGGGTTTCCGGCTGGCTTTGCCACGATGCCGACAGGCGAAGAGGTCAAAAGCACCCTGAGCATGCTGCCCATGATGCTGCCAGGCATGGCTGCAGTGCCCCAAATGTTCGGTGTTGGGGGACTCCTCAACACACCCATGGCCACCACCTGCACTTCCACTGCTCCAGCGTCTCTATCAAGCACAACAAAAAGTGGTTCAGCCCCCACTGAAAAGAATGCAGAAGACAAGCTGAGTAGTCATGATGTAAAAACAGACACTTTAACTGAAGACAAGCCTGGTCCAGGTCCATTTTCTGATCAGTCTGAACCTGCAATAACTACTAGTAGTCCTGTGGCTTTTAACCCATTTCTCATCCCGGGAGTATCTCCCGGACTCATTTACCCATCTATGTTTCTCTCCCCTGGCATGGGCATGGCTCTGCCAGCCATGCAGCAGACCAGGCACTCAGAAATAGTAGGTCTGGAGAGCCAGAAGAGGAAGAAGAAGAAAACAAAAGGGGACAGCCCAAACCCCAATCCAGAGCCTGCTCCTGGCTGTGAAAGGGAGCCAGGTGGTGATCAGAACTGCGCCGAATCTAGTACCCTTTTGCCCCCAGAGAGAGAACATGTGACACAGCCTGGGGAAGGGGCACTCAAAGACTCCAACAGTGACATCAATTAGAACTTTTTTCATTTAAGAAATTATTGTGACTTGTAAGTTTCTTATCCCATAAAGGTTTGTTATTCCCTCACTTCACCTTCATAAGAACCTGTGTTTCCATAAGTAGGATTGCCTACCTAATTTCCTGTCTGAGAACTATGGTAACAGATGTTAATAGTTGCAGGGTCTTACCACTTCCTTAGGTAAGTGTTGTCTACCTAGCCTAGGAGGCACAGAATTCTCATTCTGTTATCCAGTTGTTCGTTCCAGCAATTGTAGTTAATACAGTACTTGGTGACACGCCCTACCCCCTTCTCTTCCAATTTTCCCACTTATTTGAGGAGGAAAAAGGCAAAAGAATGCTGTCTAGGGATTTACCATTGAAGGGCCAAGGAACAGAAACAAAGAGAAGCTCTTTTTTTTCCATGAGCTAGGTTGACTAGGAAGAATGTCATGGGGAACCAAAAAGCACAGAAAAAGGAAGTGCTAGAGCATATTTTGAGTTAAAAATCTTTCCCTATTTTATCATGATTACTAAGTGAGTAGTATAGACAAGTATATAACTAATGGTTGAAAATACATATATTCATTTCTTTATTTAAGGAAAAAAACCAAACCTTACTAGTAGTAATAAATATCCCCTTTTCATGGTTTTTCAGACACCTGCAGCGAGAAGAAATACTGACTGACTAGGCATTATTTTATATATATGTATTATTCCTCTCCCCAGTTAAAGACAACTCGCTGTGAGAAAGCTTTACCCACCTTGAGTTGCTGCTGGTGACAGGGGTGGGGCAGGGGCTGCGCTCTGTAGAGCTGCACGCTGCTTCACAAGCACACGGCCAGCACTCTGCGCTCACCCGTTCGCTTACACATTTCTCTAGCCACTAATTTGCCTCTTTGCATTTAAAAAACACCAGGACTTAATAGTTTTTGTTTTGTGCTTTCTTTCACCAAGAATAAGGCTCCTTCTGGAGCTACGAGAAGATAGTCACTCAACACTTTGACACTTGCCTAGGTTCTTTCGTTGAGGGTATCTGAGGATGTCAAAACAAGTGTGCCACCCTTTATAATGCAACTGTGAAAAGCTATTTTCTTCTTGCCATTATTCTCTAGTCTGTTTATATCTTACAGTTGGACCCAAATTCCAAATTAGCAGTTAGTTGACACTGTGTTGCAAGTCAACATTGTTTTCTCTTCTTCCTCAGCTTCTCTGAGTTTAGGAACAGAGGTGGGAGGAACCCACCTGGGCAGCACTTCCCCACTTTCTTTCGCCTTCCGCTCGTGTGACGTCCCTTCTGATGGTCATACTCTTCACAGATAGCTCACAGCTGAGACTTGAATAAGCTCATGGGTCAGTACTTGGGGCACAGGGCTGCACAGGACCATTGGAACTGTTGCAAGTGTCACTAGTGCCAGTCTCACTTTTTGTTGTCACAACTTACTGTATTTTTTACTTTTTCTGTTACAGTTTTGATAATTTATCAGAAGGTCCAAAAGTTTGACATAACTATTTCATTTTGCATTATTTATTTATGATGCTTTGTCATTGTCTTTTATACATTTGGGATTATAAATTATGTAAATGTTAAAATGAGCATCTCAAAGAAGTCTGTTAAATCATTACTGAAAAGAATCAATCAGATGTATTTTCAAAAAGTGGAGTGCTGTTTTATGAATCAGAGATATAAACCAGAAATCTTGTAACTGATTATAGAAGAAGAATACAATAATTGAACAAATTCTATTTAATGGCATCCTGGTAGCATAGGCGGTCTATGATGCTGACAACAGATTTCTTAGAAATGCTGCTCTCTCTATTTAACTAACATTTTGTTCAGTTTTGCCTCCAGTGGAAGCAGAAAGGGTTTTTCAGCTGTTAAAACCTAAAAAAATCAATATAATTTATTTATGTAAAAAAAAATCACTCAATCAATATATTTTTGAACCTTTTAAGTACTAATTTTCTTTCTATCAAGTAGAAAAAAAATGTATTTGCCCTAAATCCTTAAAATACAAATACTATAAAAATTCCTGTATCTTGAAAGCCTTACTGCAAATGAGTATTACAGACATCCAGCAGAGTCTGGTTTTCTTTGTTGTCGTTGTGTTGTTTTGTATGGAAAAGCTGCTTCCCCGGGTTCCACTTATAACCTCCAGTAGGTCACAGGGTTCAATGTGGATCTAACTTTAAAACCCACCAGCATGCTCAATTCCTTGTTATATCTTATCAAGTCTGTATGTTAACTCTCTGGGTGTTTAGGCTTCTATTTGACTGCTGTTGTGACCCTGTTTGCAAAATGAAAATGACATTCTGTGGATTATTTGCTCTGTAAGGCACAAGTGCTTCTTATGATTATTTTGACGTTTCCAAGAGCAAAAGCCAAACTTAAACTCTCTTCAGCAAACTTGAGCCTTCTCATCTAATTCCATGTCACTCACAGCCATTACTTTCCTTGATCATTTTTCACCCCATGTCTTACATAATAAATTGTCTGTGGTCTTGATCCTGGATTTTAAAAAAAAAAAAGTTGAAAAGTCACATTTGTATCTAAGGAATTCAGTGGCACTTGGATGTCTCTTGCTGTCTAGGCATTTGCTAAGTACATCACATGCACACGAGGAATCCACTGTCTTTCCTGGGTGCCTGATCTGGACTGGGCGCTACTGAGAGCTCATTGAATGTTCATTTATGTTCAACCACCAGAACACCTGGTTCAAACATGCCTTAGGCCAACACAGTGGTTCATGCCTGTAATCCCAGAGACGCCAAGCCGGGAAGATCACTTCAGGCCAGGAGTTCAAGGTCAGACTGAGCAACATAGTAAGGCCCTGTCTCTACAGAAAAATGTAAAGATTAGCCAGGCTGGTGATGTGTGCCTGTAGTCACTTGAGCCCAGGAGTTCAGAGTGGAGCTATGATCGCACCACTGCTCTCCAGCCTGGGAGACAAAGCAAGACCCCATCTCTTTTTTAAAAATGCCATAGAAGGGGATTGGCAGCACAGCATTTTGCTTCTCAGATTCAGTGTCTAAATACCCTCAGCTGATGCCTCACCATTACCGCTTAAGCCCATACCAGAAGTCCTACTTCAAGTCACACACCTGGGACTTACGGGAAACTAGACTTGTATGGATTGGAGCAGGTCTGTAAAACGAACACTGGTGGTAGAGTCCAGTTGGTCCAGTCCAGTGTTCTATGTGTGTTTACCAGTAATGACCTCATTTGTCCTTACAGCATCTTGGGCACTAGGTAGAAGGAGGCTGGCGTCTAATCTGCCTAATAAAAGCCAACAGAGGCTGCCAAGGCTTTCATCAGTCACGAACAGCAGAGCTGGGGGTCTCTACCAGTGGTCCCACCAGCCAGAGGAGACAGCACTCCAGTTCTGACTTTGACGATAACCAGTCTGGAGCCTTTCTACCTCAGAGACTGAAATTGAGCTAAGAAATTATACTCAGAAAAATTGGCACTGGGAAAAACGGAACACTCAAATAAGCGTCACACACTCTGGAAAACTTAATGCTTGATTTATTTACACTGAGTTTCTTAAAATGGTTTCTTGCAAGAAGTACTGTTAATTTGCCTGGTCTGGAAATCACCAAAAGAATTTCTTTCCTAGGTCAGCAATAGGGTTCACCCAGCCCAGTGATTAGGATCTTGGCTGTCTTGTGGCCAGCATTGTGGCCACTCTCATCAACAAACTAGGGAAAGGGGTGAATAAGTACTCTCTCCTGCCAGGAAGGTATTCTTTTAGGGCAGTTTGGACATGGAGACAGCATGGCTGTGACGTGTTGGTGCTGCCTAGATAAACCTGATGAGTTCTGGCTCAGCCCAAGTCCTGGAGGGCAACGAGAGGAACTAAAAGGAGGAGGAGGAGGGAGTGGAGGCCCAAGGGGAGCAACACCCACATGGAACACTTCTCCAAGTCTGTTTCCTCATCTGTAAAATGGGAATAACTAAACTTTGTACATTTATCCGTTAAGGGAACCAAGATGGGCATCTTTAGTCAGAGGCTTGAAGCTGGCCGGCCCTCTACAGTACAGCTGCATGAAATAGATTAAGCACAAATGGGGAGAGGGGCTGTTCAGGCTCTGAGGCCAGTGGGAAGGTGGTTAACCCAGGGAAAAAGGTTTCCATCCTTTCCATCCCTGTGGTGCTGGTGTTGTGAGGCCTCAGATGGGGCTTAGCCTGGGGACATCCTTGGTGTCTGGGTGCTTGAACTCACCAGCCTAGGGCCAAGGGCCTATGTGAGTGCCAGCTTCAGTCTTGGAAGGTAGAGACAGAAGTGATAGAGGAACTGCTCAGCTAGAAGGGCATGGAGGAAAGGAGGAGGAGCTGACCTGGAAGGGGAGGCAGCACAGCTCATCCACCCATACCCTGGCCCACAGCAGCCAGCCATGTTCCATGCACCACAGCACTGCCTCGTTGACACCTACCCTGCAGGCTGCTGTGCCAGGCCTTGACATGCATGATGAGCTCACCTCAAAGCATGCTCTCCAGATGAGGATCAGGCTTCGGTAGGTTGTCCCTGCCTTCAGTGGCACAGATAAGGAGTGGAAGAACAAGATTTAGACGTGGGTCTGATTCCAAAATCTGGCATTCTACTCTGGCTTTGGCTTTGCACATGGAGCCACAGGCTACCGAAAGTGGAGACAGAACTACCTTCCACAAGTTAAGAACAGACCTTACATTTATAAATAGTGGGGGAAAAGAATATTTTACGAACATGAAAATTGTATCAAATTCAAATTCCAAAGTGACCGTAAATAAAACTTTATTGGAACACAGCTATACTCATGCTTTTGTGTGTTGCATAGGACTGGTTTTGTACTATGACAGCAGTGGTCACAGAGATCAGAGGTCCTGCAAGGCCTAAAATACTATCTGACCCTTTGCAGACAAAGTTTGTCAACTTCTGTCATCAATTGTATCATAGATTCAGTGCAAAAACAGCACTTTAAAAATTTTATAGGTCACGCACAGTGGTTCACACCTCTAATCCCAGTACTTGGGAGGCCAAGGTGAGAGGATTGCTTGAGGTCAGGAGCTCGAGACCAGCCTAGGCAACATAGCAAGACTCCGTCTCTACAAACAAAAAACTAACTGGGCATGGCAGTGAAAGCCTGTAGTCTCAAAGGCTGAGGCAGGAGGATCACTACTTGAGCCTAGGAGATTGAGGCTGCCATGAGCTCTAGTGATGGTGCCACTGCACTCCAGCCTGGGCGACAGAGTGAGACCCTGACTCAAAAAAAGTAAAATAAATATGTTTATATTAAACATGGTTTTGTATAAATATGGATCATACAGTGGAATGTAAGATTCACTTCTACTTTTAAGATGACACAGATTTCAAAGAGGCACTAGGCTTTGGGCATACCTCTTGAAGTTCTGCTCCAAGCCCCAGGCATGCTTTCACTTTGGAGGAAAAATTGGCGCTGCCCTGTCCTGCCCTGCCCTGTTCACATGGAGTCTTGCTTGTGAACCAAGAGGAGAGCCAGAGCAGTTGAGTTGGGCGTGGTGGCTCACGCCTCTAATCTCAGCACTTTGGGAGGCGGAGACAAGAGGATTGCCTGAGCCCAGGGATTCGAGAACAGCCTGGGCAACTTGGCAAGACCTCTTCTCTACAATAAATCAAAAAATTAGCTGGGCATAGTGGCATGCCTCTATTTACAGCTATTTGGAAGGCTGAGACGGAAGAATCGTATGAACCCAGCAGGTCGAGGCTGTGGTGGCCACTGTACTCCAACCTGGGTGACAGAGTAAGAGTTCAACTCGTAAATAAATAAATAAATGCAAAGAAATAAATAAAACATCTCTTTCTACCCCTTCTACCATCATTCTCCCCGAGAAGAATACAGATACACACACACACACACACACACACACACACACACACAGGCATTTTTTTTTTAAAGCCCAGACTCAGCCAAGGCCAAGGAAGCAGTGGGTCCACATGGTCCTCATACAGCCTTGCCTCAGTGCATGAGTGTGGAGGGAGAGTGATCTCCTTGTTATTTCTTCTAAGGCAACTTTTCTTAGATCAGGGCCCCACCCGTATGACCTCACCTAACCTTAATTGCTTCCGCCTGATCTCCAAATACAGCCACACTGGGGCTTAGGGCTTTAATATATGGATTTGGGGGGAAACATGGACAAACATTCAGTCTAGAACAATGTGCCCAGCTTACCAAAGAGCTGTGAAGGGAGCGGTTCCTCTTACTCTCCATAGTGATGGACAAGATGGAGAGCTATGGGTATGTGTCCCTGCATGAATGGCTATGCCCATAGGGAAATAAGAGGTAGGTTTGTGCCCCTCTGGGGAGACCCCAGTGGCTCATGGTCGCTTTTCTCAATCTATAGCAGAGTTTGTAAACTTACATGCCTATCAGGCAAGGCAGATGACATGAATGAGTGACATTCTCCAGGTTTAAGGCAATAGGAAATAGGAGTGTGAAAAGTAGATGTGCCTTGCCCTGAGAGGGACACCACCAGCTGTCGAAAGCAGATGCCATGCAGAAATGTAGTATCTGTGTTGCCTTATTTTTTTCCAACAGAGGATGGAAGTTCAGATATTTAAGTAAAATCCCTTGGGTTTTTTTGTTTGTTTGTTTGTTTTTGTTTTTAAGAATAAGTCCTCCTCTGTCACCCAGGTAGCGGCATGATTATGACTCACTGCAGTGTTGAACTCCTGGGCTCAAAAAATCCTCCCACCTCAGCCTCCTAGTTAGCTGGATTACAGACACATGCCATCATGCCCAGTTAATTAAAAAAAATTTTTTTTTTTTTTTGAGACAGCATCTCACTATGTTGCCCAGGCTGGTGTCAAACTCCTGGCCTCAAGCAATCCTGCCTCAGCCTCCCAGTTACCATTGCAGGTGTGAGCCACCACACCAGACCTGATTTTGAAATGTGTACAATGAATTCAATGTTTTTTTTAAACCCACTGGGCAAATATCTGTCTGTGTGTTGGCGCTAGTGGACAGAACATAAGTTTGCTACTTGAGCAATTGCAGAGCCAGGGGCATTGACAGGCCCCTGATACCACCAGCAGGTGACATGGGAATGCTGATTCAGGGTGTATTTTAAGGGAGTGACTGTCCTATCCCCCACTGGAATGCCTAGCTGACTCTCAAAAGCAGGATGCTAGGACAAGGTCAGAAGCAGCTTTGCAAATTCCCCTAAATCTCACCCATCTTGAGCCTATTTTCTTTCCTCTGCTGGGCGTGTATGCCTGCTGTACCACCCTCAGGGTGACAACTGGGACTCACCCTTCCCTGTCCTTAGCACCTCAGGGCTCCCTGAGAGTCCTCAGGAACTTCTCAAGAGTGAGCGATCTCACTACAGCCTGCTGCAGGTATGAGTGGAGTGGGAGAGCAGGGCGGATGGTGACTCAGCACTGCTGGGGTGTTGAGCCTCTTTCCTGGCTCTGACCCAGAGGAGGCCAGACCAAGAAAACTCTAACCACCACAGACATGGCTCCCACCGCCCCTCTCCCTGCTTCAAGCTCTGACCTAGGCTTTTC